TTCTCTTGGCAAGAGCTTCTCCACTATTGTCTGTGGATCTGTTAAAACCTGTCATATTTAGACCAGTTCATTTTCAATCTATAGCTCAAGGCTGAACTGTGGAATTTTTGGTGCTCTCTGAGCTTGGTTGTTTGCTTGCATTGTTTCGTTATTCAACTAGATAACATAATTGGTGCATTGATGATATTAGCTAGTCTGGTACTGAAACGTCTGCTAGCAAATAACCAAGCTCAGAGAGCATCGTGGATTCTCCAGTTCAATTTGTTTCTCATCCTTCTAAAACTTAATTCCCCTTTTTGAAAATTTGTTTTAGAATATTCAGTCAGCAGCACATTCAGTGGGATGACCCTTGGAAAATGGGTGGTGGGAGGAATTCCAAGACTAACCTAGCCCTTGTGATTTCATTTAGCAACCAGTCTAAAGCTACTGTGGGTTTTTTTGTGCCTTGAGATATTCTCCATCTGATTATTTATTTGTAATTTTTTAAACATTTGGATTGTCTGCAAGGAAACAAAAGAGCATCTTTGAAACAGATACCTGAATATTAGTTTAAAAAAAAATCAAAGCTGCTACAAAAGAAAGCTTTCACTTTCAGTTATTGGAATTCTCTAACCCTGTGTCTTTCTTCTTCATAAATTTTGCAGAATTGACTCTGTAACTCATACTTGGAAAGAATTGCTTTCAATTTTATGCACCTGCCAAGCAGCCTTAGAGATGTGCCATACATGCATAAACCTCATATGATAGTTCCCGGTGCATTTTTATGATAGACCCTGAGAGACACGGAATGCTGCATCTGAGTGCCACATTTTAAGAAGGATATTATAAGTTAGAATGTGTCCATTGCGTGATGATTTAAAGATGGGGAAGCATCTGGAAATGACAGAAAGGGCTAAAAAATTTAGTCTGTAGAACAGTAAGATTAGACATGCAAGCCTGCTTTTTGAAACATGGCCATGTAGAAGTGTCTTGTGGTTGCTCCAGAGAAGGACTAGAACCAGAAGGAAGAAATTGCATGAAATAACTTCGGTTCAACTTTGGGTGAAGCTTCCTAGAAATAAATAGCTGATATTGTAAGTTTTGATTTGCTTGAGGCTCTGTTGTCCCTTCCAATAATGTGATTCTTGGAAGTTAGGTTATCAGATCTGCTGCTATGTTTGAAGATTTTTTTCCAAATGAAGACTTCCTAAAATAAATGTTCATTAAGTGAGCAGTGAAGGTTGCACTAATTTCGGAAACTGAATTACCCGTTTGTGAGTTCCTTTTTTTACCCAGACAGAATTTTCACACTGTAGTGCCTTGAGTTCAGGCTGGTTACAGCTAGTGCATTCCTCTAGAAGAGCGTAAGGGATCTTGTCCCCTGCTGGTTGATCCTATGAAATTCTAGCTGCTTATGACTGTAGGAGTAAATCTAAGTGAGCTGTCATAGTATTTGTATCTGGCTAAGAAAAAGGGCTATAATAGTTGAAGACGTGTCTTGTCACTGTTAATTTGCTGGGTGGTTTTAGGAAAGTCACTGAAATTATTATTGTTGTTGTTATTACCGGTAATAATACAACACAACACAACACAAAGTTCTTGTCAGAACTGCAGCTAAATATGTGAAGAGCTTTAATGTATGTTAAAGCTCTTTGTATAGTAAAATACAAAGATTAAGTAATTTTGTTATCAATTCTGAATAAGGGTATTTTGCTAGATGTCGTTATAGACCCAGATTGGGAGAATTCTGTCACTGCAGAAGAAATGCCTGGGTTACTTTTTTCTATCAGTGGAGAAGAGACCTAATCTCTTAACTGGGGGGAGGGGGGGGAGAAAAGTATTCACTAGAAACAGGAAATGACTGAAATGTATGTAAACATGGTATTAACTATATGTTCTCTAGATGTTTGGAGACTACAACTCCCTGCTTGCTCAAAATTTATTTTATTTATTTGTTCAACTTGTATGCCGCCTTTCTCCAAAGACTCAAGGCGGCTTACAATGCATTTAAAAACCATATATAAAACATTAAAAGTTAAACCATTAAAAACAATTAAAACCCATTCACACCATTCATGGCCGGATCTCGCCAGATCGCAAGAGCGAGATCAACGGCCCCAGGCCTGCCGGAAGAGCCAGGTCTTCACCGCTTTTCGGAAGGCCAATAGGGTGGGGATGGTCCGGACCTCAGGAGGTAACTGGTTCCAGAGAGCCGGGGCAGCCACAGAGAAGGCCCTCCCCCGCGGGCCCGCCAGCCGGCATTGTTTAGCTGATGGGACCCGGAGGAGAACAACTCTGGGATGTTACCGGTCGCTGGGAGCTATGCGGCAGAAGGCGGTCTCGAAGATACCCTGGCCCTGAGCCATGTAGGGCTTTAAAGGTAATAACCAACACCTTGAATTGTGACCAGAGACCAATAGGGAGCCAGTGCAGCTCGTGGAGAATTGGTGTAATGTGGGTGTACCTAGGTGCACCCACGACAGCTCACATGGCTGCGTTCTGGACCAACTGTAGTCTCCAAACACTCTTCAAGGGTAGCCCCATGTAGAGCGCGTTGCAATAATCTAACCATGAGGTGACAAGGGCATGAGTGACTGTGGGGAGAGCCTCCTGATCCAAGTAGGGTTGCAATTGGTGCACCAGGCAAACCTGTGCAAAGGTTCCCCCTAGCCACAGTTGAGAGATGTTGCTCTAATCTTAGCTGTGAGTCTAGGAGGACACCCAAATTGCGAGCCCGTTCTGAGGGGGACAATTTCTCCCCCGCCCCCCAGAACCAAGGATGGACAATCAACATAGTCTTTAGGAGGCAATACCCACAGCCACTCGGTCTTGTCTGGGTTAAGTCTGAGCCTGTTGACTCCCATCCAGACCCTCATGGCCTCCAGGCACCGGCACATCACATCCAATTGTGGGGATTGGAAAGGCAGGACTTCTGGATGGTGCTCACTTAGGAGAAACTCAATGTTTAGAGTCACCATGGGATCATCTTGATAAACTATATCTTTATGGATCTCATAATTAGCTGATAAAATTCACTGCCATTGTGAAGTTACAGATGACAGCTTGGGTGGCTTCTGTGTTCTAAATTCGTAGTGGGCAGATACAATAACTGTACCAAATGACCTGGATGACTGAGAATCTCCAAAGACATTTACAATAACTGTACTTGATTGCAGAAGTTCTCTGCATTGGAAAGCACAGAGGTAGGTGCTAAACAGAGACAAAAGGAGTCTTTATCTTATGCCTTTTCTAGAAGCATCTGAGCAGGTGCTGCTAAGAGTGGGTGCTGGATTTGCATAGCACAGCAACACTCTATGTGAAGAGTGGGATGGGCAGGGCACTGAGGCTGACCGAATCACTTTTTGTTGGTCTTTTTAATAGGCTTGTCCCAAAAAGGGGGCTGTAGCGTTTTTTCATTCTTCAGATACTCCAGTGCCTCTTTGAACAATTTTCCCAAGTGAAATAGCATCTGTTTAGTGGAGGGAAATGACCACGATCTGCTGTACACAAATGTTCTCCCAAAGTACTAGAATTGTCCATAGGCCAAATTTTATTTTCAGTACATAACTTTGGCAAACAATGCAGCTGTGTTTTCTTCCAGTGACTCGGCAAATGCTACTCTTTGTTCTTGTTCTCTGGTCTCATGTAATGAGTATTCCTTCTTGCCCCTTGCCAAGAGTTCCTTAATTCCATTCCTAAAATATAAGCGAACGTGCTAAATGTACACGTGCAAATTTGCAAGTGGTGCTTTCTTATTTTATTACAAGAATCGGCATTTGTTTCTCGTGGAATTAGGGAACTTCTTTGACCTGGTTTCTGCAAGAGTTTATTTATTTATTTATTTATTTATTAAATTTATATCCCGCCCTTCTCTCCGAAGGGACTCAGGGCGGTGAACAGCCGAGAATTAAAATAACATACAATATAAAAGTTAAGATAATTAAAAATAAATTAAATTAAACGGCCTCCCAATTTAAAACTCCTATCTATACAATTAAAACTAACCCATAAATCCTATTCAGGCCAGGCTGGCTTGCTGAAATAAAAACATCTTCAGGGCCTTACGGAAAGTGCGGATATCCGGAATCAGCCGTATTCCGGGAGGTAGCTCATTCCAGAGGGCGGGTGCCCCCACAGAGAAGCCTCTCCCCCTGGGGGCCGCCAGCCCACATTGCTTGACCGACGGCACCCTGAGGAGGCCCTCTGTGAGAGCGTATTGGCCGGTGGGAGGCTATCAGTAGCAGAAGGCGGTCTCGTAAATACCCTGGCCCTAAGCCATGGAGCGCTTTAAAGGTGAGAACCAACACCTTGAAGCGCACCCGGAAGACCACCGGGAGCCAGTGCAGCTCGCGCAGGAGAGGTGTTATATGGGAGCGCTATGTCACTCCCGTAATCACCCGCGCGGCCGCATTCTAGACCATTTGGAGCCTCCGGGTGCTCCTCAAGGGGAGCCCCATGTAGAGAGCGTTGGTGTAGTCCAGGCGAGAAGTGACAAGAGCATGAGTGACTGCATAAGGAATCCCGACTCAGAAAGGGGTGCAACTGGCGTATCAGGCAAACCTGATAAAAAGCCCCCCTGGCCACTGCCATCATGTGCTCTTCTAAAGACAGCCGTGTGTCCAGGAAGATGCCCAAGTTGCGAGCCCCCTCTGTGGGGGTCAATGACGCCCCCAATAGTCAGCGATGGCGCCAGCTGGCTATATCGGGATGCTGGCATCCACAGCCACTCGGTCTTGGAAGGGTTGAGTCGAAGCCTGCTCCTCCCCATCCAGACCCGCACGGCCTCCAGACACTAGGACATCACTTCAAGGGCATCTTTGGGGTGGAGATGTACAGCTGAGTGTCATCAGCGTACAGATGGCATCGCACCCCAAATCCACGGATGATCTCACCCAGCGGCTTCACATAAATGTTGAACAGGAGTGGCGAGAGGACCGACCCTTGTGGCACCCCACAAACAAGGCGCCTCGAGGTCAACCTCTGCCCCCCTGCCAACACAGACTGCGACCGGTCGGAGAGATAGGAGGAGAACCACTGCAACACGGTGCCTCCCACCCCCAATCCCTCTAGCCGGTGCAGCATGATACCATGGTCGATGGTATCAAAAGCCGCTGAGAGCTCTAATAGGACCAGAACAGAGGAGCAACCCCTGTCCCGAGCCCTCCAGAGATCATCAAACAATGCGACCAATGCCGTTTCCGTGCTGTACCCAGGCCTGAAGCCGGACTGGCACGGGTCTAGATAGACGGTTTCATCCAGGTACTGCAGGAGCTGTTGCGCAACCACACTCTCCACAACCTTCGCAACAAAGCAGGTTTTCAGGGTTCATCCTAAGGACCAATTCATTTGGCACCAATGACATTGAGCAAAGGTTCTTCTGTGGGTCTCCAGTGGTAAAGGTGCAGGGATGTAACTGACAGTTTTTCTCCCATCCCTCAGTCCCTGCTAGAACTTGGGCAGCCCCCCTTTCCCACACACATTGGCTGAGTCCCTGTGAGGCAAGTCGAGCAGAGAGAGAGTGACTGAACCAAGGTCACCCTTTCATGGCTAAAGTGGGACTTGAACTCACACAGTCTCTTGCTATCTTGTCTGGTGACTGGCTCCCACCATCTTCGTTTCCCACATCTGGATGCGTCTGTCGGTGTCCTTCCTACAATCCATTGCTGGATGCATATTCCAGGAAGAATGACTTCTCTGGTCTTGGCCCTTTTCCACTCATATCTCTGGCTTGATGCAGAACATTTGATGTACCTGTGTAGTGGTCCTACAGCCCTGCAAGGACCTTTCAAGTCAGAATGTATTGCATTTCTTCCCTGAAATCACCTGCTTAATTATTTCATGGTTTTGCTCAGTGTCAGCTTTAGGCTGACAGACACATATTTATCTCTTGTCCCTTTTTTGGAAAATACAGTAGGAGCAATATTTGCCCATTTCTAATTCTCCCGTTATTTGTTTCTATCCTATCAGTTTTTCCAAGCAGTAGATCTTCCCCTATTTCATATATACATCTTTTTTAAAAAAAAAAAAAAGCTTCGTCTGTAACCATCTTTTTTTTTAAGTCCGCTCCTTTTTTTATATAAACTTGGTGCATGGGGCCAAAGATAGAGGATACTTTTGTTTTTTCATTAAAGTAAAGCTCTTCACTAAAGAGCAAAGTTTACCAAGGGGCATACGGTAACATTTACTTAAAAGAATGAAATGTTAATGTAACAATAATACATTGAAAAAGAGAGTCTCCCTTACTCACTCTTGATCATACTGCCAAAATTTGGCCATAAAGCCACCCTCTCAGCTAATTTTGCCTGTGATTTGTGGGGGAAAGACTGTATCCATCGTCCCCTCCCGAATCAGCTGCCCCACTAGATTCCCTGTAGCTCATGGGTGCTGAAAAATGCATGACATGAGCACCCAGAAGTTGGCGTCTTCAAACCTGGAGCAGCAGTGCAGAATCTGTGGCAACTCCGTCGGTAACTGGGCCGTCCCAACTTCCCAAAGCAGCCCCTGTTCAATGTATTTCATGTGCTGGAGAAGGAAGGCCCTCCGTGGTGCTTTCGAGGAAGCAGGTCGAGCTCCACCTTTTGGCTCCTAAATCAGAGCTTCTTCTCTTACATAATTTCTAGGGTGAATGTTACATCCTGGAACTGAAATCAAGTGACACAAGTTTTTATTTCCACATAATTCCATCTAGATATTGTACAGTAAAGGTGGTATCTGTGTCCGTTTTTCCTCCTTGGATACAGATGGGGGAGGGAACATATACGTCAAATTTGTGCTTAAGTGGCTTGGACAGATGTTGGCATTTGCTTGTTCCAGGATTCCCTCCCAGCCCAAGTGTTTCAATCCGGCCTCGCCACCCGGTTTCCACTTCCCCAGCTGTTGGCCTGCAGGGTTGGCCAGCCTTGGAGGCAAGGTAGAAAAAAGAAAAATCTGGATCCACGGCTGGGAATTCCTCCTGACAGCAAACATGTCTGATTCCCAGTATTTTAAGAAAAGCAGCTAAAAATATTGTTCACCCACCTTTCTTAAGAGACTTAGACTCTAATCTCTTTCCACCTCCCATCTTTCTTGAGAGGCAGCTCTTTTTCTGACCTGTTACTTTTAAAACGAGGGCAGCCTTCAAAAGCCCCTCTGCTCTCTCTCGGCCCCGTGGCTCTGAGCTGCAGCGTAATGTGAAGATGTAGCCGCCACAGAGCCCCCCCCCCACACACACACACACTCCAAGGCCCTGTCGCCCAGAGCTCTAGCTGGCCTTCACCATCTCCTGGGGGAGTTGAAGGTCATAAGTGCGAATGGGCTGCCAAGTGCCCAGATTTTGATCAGATGACTTGGGGGAGTGCTGCAATGCAAGTCACTTTGTTCAGCGCCATCGTGGCTTTGAACTATTGCTGAACAAATCGTCATAATCCGAGGGGTACCTGCAGCCGCCCGTTGGCCCCTGTCTGATGATCTTTGCTCATCTCATTTTATTCCTTACTCTCAAGTAGCATCCATTTAACTTGAAAGTGTTATTTGTTGTCCCTGCTTGCTTTTTATTAGATAATTTCTTGTGGATGTTTTTATCATGGTTTTCATTCTTTAAATTTTGCACTAGTTTTTTTTTTTTTTTTTTTTTTTTTTGGTGCTTAAAGTGATATACACGTGAAAGGCAAGATACCAGTTTCTGCATATTTATGTGTTGCCCATATCACACTAGAAAGCGGCTGTGGGTAGCTAAATGTATTTATATTATATTTATATATTATATATTATCTTTATATATAAATAAAAAATTGGACATTTCATGTAATTGACAATGGAATGTCAACAGTTGCAAAATCTTTTCTTAGCTTTTGTGCACTCATGATGCGATGGGCATCTATTCGTCCAAGGCATACATATTTTGCATAAACTACATCAGGAATAATTTCAGTTATATTGATGACTTACATGCTGAATGTTCTAGAAAACGCTTTTTTAACCTGGCAGTTGTTCGGTGATTCCATTTTTCAATTGAATGCATTGCAGTCATCAGGAACTTGCTAATAGTTGAAAGGTTGAGGAGGCAGATAAAACACAACGGGCTCTCTGGTACAATGCTGTTTCCCAGGAGAGGATTATGCATGAATCGATTGAAGGGGGGTTGGGGGGTGGCAAGAGCTGGCCATGTTTTATGAATGAGTTTGCAGAAAACAAGATGTTTCATTAAGGATGTTTGGGCTGAAACTCAGGGAAACAGTTTCTATTGTTCTGAAACATTAACAAAGTCAGTTAGTTAGTGTTGTGCTCAGATTCTGAAAGTTGGAGGAGCGAAAAGTTGCCCAAAGACCCTGGAAGAATTGTTAGTATTATTAAGACACCAATTAGGGACAAGGGGTTGAACTGAACGAGGGATCAGTGCTTATTCTGTAGGAATGAGCCCCAGTCCAAACGCAAGGTAATATTTCCTTGGTGATTGTCTATAAATCAAAAATGGTATTTTCATTTTGGGAAGTTGTTTGCCCAGAATTTTAAAATCTTCCTTCTGAATGTAAAAACTAGGTAATTTAATACCAACGTTTTAATCCATTTGCTGCCATGTGATGATGTGAGTTCTCCTTTGCTGGAGGTCTTCAGAAAGGTCAGGGCCATTAGGCAATCATCTGCCAAAGATCCTTCCAGTGAATCTTGTTTGAGCAGAGGGTAGAGGATGGATTACGTGACCTCTGTTGCCCTTCCAATTTGGTCATTCCGTTCTTCTCTTTATAGCTAAAAGGGCTTTCTTTCTAATCCCAGTTTTGCAATATGAGAGATTACATTCTAATGTACATGTGGCAAGAAAATATATTAGGAAGAGAACTAACGGATTATCCTCTCTACCTCTGGTAATACTAGAACGTAGATTTTGCCTGTTTCCAGACAGATGAAATAAATCCATAAATAATGTAGTACCATCTTCTGATTTTTCAGTAGGTTACAGCTGTAAGATTTCCTGGTGTCCTCCCATCCATATCCTAACTAGATGTGTGCCTACCGAGCTTTTGAGATCAGCCAAGATAGCCTAACAAACCACATGTGCATAAGACAAAATCTCTGGGTATCCCCCTCAGTGTCATTGATACGCAAATTCTGTTCTGAGCAGATGCGAAGATAAATACTGTATTTATCCAAAAGGAGAGAACCCCAAATTTAAGGTGCCCCCCAAAGGAAAAGTAAATAGAAAAAAGCTAATCAGAAGACATTCCTGTCCAATGTCCAGCTTCCTTGTCAACTTAGGACAGCCAACTCCAGTGAAAGGGCGGCATGGAGTTCCCATATGAAGCCACTCCCAATGTCCTCCCAATGCCAAGAAAAAAATAAATAAAAGCAATAGCTGGCAAGAAAATTACTTGCTTCTGAAATAAGCTACTCCTTGGCAACAATAACTGGTTCCCATTTGAGTTTAACAAGCATGGTCACTCATGCACAGAAGCACGTAAGTATGAGCATGTTAATACCCACTCGCTGCCTCCAACAGAGCAGGAAAAGATGGAGAGAAAAGGATGGGAAAGAGGAAAAGGCTGAAGAAATTAGAAGTGTACCACAGGGGTTAGAGGCATTTGCACCCCACGGCTCTTCTGTTGGAATGTCATGTTGTCCTATAAATAAGAGACCTGCAGATTTCTAGTGGGGAGGGGTATCTGCAGACCATTAACAAGGTCTAACATGCCTTCTTTTTTTTTTTTTTCTCCAAAGGTATTTGTATCAAGTGTGGAAAGGGGGTATATGGGGCCAGCCAAGCTTGCCAGGCCATGGGGAACCTTTACCATACCAACTGCTTTACATGCTGCTCTTGTGGTAAGTTCCACATTTATACTCGGACAACACCTACACCATTCATATGTCTCAGGGCCCCTGGTAAAAGTGAACCCTGCCAGCACCGATTGTTCAGTGTAAATTGTGATCCGTGCAGAAAGTCTATCTTGAGAATGAATGAAGAGTGAGGTCATTTAGAAGGTGTGCAAATGGGAGTGGTGTACAAAAGTTGTGATTGGGCCAGAAATGGAAAGGAACGATAGTGTGACTGTGGCGAGACAAGTGGCAAAATATGTATCACAATATTTCGCATTTTGTACTTGTGCGTGCCTGTGTGAGAGAAGTACTAAGGAAGAGAGCTTACACCATGAGGTAATAATAATACCTGCTTAGTCATCTTGGCATTGGTTAGGACTGGGCACTTGCTTAATAGGATATAAAACAGGGATTTAAAACTATTTCAGTCCTTTTTCAGGGCTGCCTTATGAAGCTTAAAGAGAACACCAGGGAGAGCTTTCAAGAGTATGGAGGGAGGGAAAGTATCTGAAGGGGGGAAGGGTCCTCCCCACCTGTTTCTTTCACCCTGGAGATTTTCCTTAGAGGCCTTTTTGTACGGGTGGAATTGGAGGATGCTACTTAGGAACAATGTGGCCTATTACTGTACAGGTAGTCCTCGACTTACATCCACAATTTATGTTGCTTAATGAGACATTTCTTAAGTGAGTTTTGCCCCACTTTATGACTTGCCCTGGTTGTTAAGTGAATCATTGCCTTCATTAAGTTAGTAACAGTGTTGTTAAGTGAATCTGGATTCCCCATTGACTTTGCTTGCCAGAAGCTCACAAAAAGATCACATGACCCAAGATAAGGATCGAAAGTTCGATCACGTGACCATGGGGATGCTGCAATGGTCATAAGTGTGAAAAATGGTCATGTCATTTTTTTCAGTGCTGTTGTAATTTTGAATGGTCACTAAGTGAACCGTTGTAAGTGGAGGACCACCTGTATAGTGACTGTCACACAGACTCAGAAGGAAGATAGGAAGAGACCTTCAGATGGACTTGCTTCTCTCAGCTGATCTGCCAGCCTGGAAGCTTCTTGGGATTGACTTTCCCCCAATTTCCTTGAAAGACCCAGATGTTCTTGGGGACTTTTGGGGAGCAGAAGCAGCAGCTTTTGTGGTCACTGGAGCAGCGTCTCTTGAGGGTTGGTTGCGTGATTTCTAATCTCATGATTGTGACAGATTATAAGACATCAGAATGTCCCATTGGATTAAAAGCACATTTCAAGTAAAGAAGTATTTAAAAATCAACACATAATGATTGCAAATCATTTGTAAAGAGACGCTGCAACAAAGACAGAATATTTCTGAAACAGAATAAGAAAGTGCTAAGAATGGTATATGTTTTCCTTGGAAGAAAGGGAAATCCAATCAGTAAACATTTGACAGAAAGCACATTGGAAACACCTGTTTACTTCCTACTTCGGATCTAATGTTATTAAAGTGTTGGTCTAGGGATGGAAACATCTGGGATCAAAACATGCTTAATTGGGAAGCTCAGTAGGTAACCTTGGGAAAACTATTGTCTCCTAGCCTAAGCTGACTTTTGGGGTTATTGAAAGAATAATATGGCAAGCAAGCCATGTATAGAGCCGTGGAGGTGCAGTGGTTAGAGTGCAGTACTGCAGGCTACTTCTGCTGACTGCTGGCTGCCTGCAGTTTGGCAGTTGAAATCCCACCAGGCTCAAGGTTGACTCAGCCTTCCCTCCTTCCGAGGTGGATAAAATGAGGACCCAGATTGTTGGGGGCGATATGCTGACTCTGTAAACAGCTTAGAGAGGGCTGTAAAGCACTGTGAAGCGGTATATAAATGCTGTTGCTATTGCTTTGGCTTCGGGGATCAGAGTTTCCATAGCTAAGCAGTATGGCTATAATAAAGTGCAACACAATTGCATTGCTTAGTGACCTGGTTGCTGTTGAAACTCCAGGACCATGGAGGTTATCAAGAGTGAAGAGGCAAGCAAGGGGTACGGAGGAGCGTGCATGGCAGATACACGTGGGAGTTGGTTTGTGGGTGTGGGCCAGTGGAGACCTCAGGCAGGGAATAAGGAGTTCCAGTAATGACTCTGTGCATGTGTCCAAGGGAACACTGACTGGCAGGGGTGCTGCAGGTGGGCAGAGCATGCCACAGAATCTGGGATCTCGTACTCGGTAGTAGGGCTCCTTGGGGGGAAAAATAGTAGGAGCAGCTCACAAATGCAACCTACAACCTTCCCTGCTGACATCCTCATTGGCTTGAACTGGAAAGAGGAGAGTGACAAATTAAAGGAACTTCATATGTTTGGACTGAAGAAAAGAAGGCCGAAGGGAGACATGATAGCAGTTTTCCAATCTTTGAAGGCTGTCACAGGGAAGAAGGGGTGGATTTCCCATAACTCCCCAAAGTCAGACAAGAATGGAGAGCGAGAGATTCAAACTCAAAATAAGGAGGAATTTTCTAAGCTGTATCCAGTAGTGGGACCGCCTGCCTCCTGGGGTCATGGAAGGCTGCATCATTGGAGGCTTCCAGCTGTGGGGATGGGGACAGCATTTAAGGAATTGGACGTTGCTCTCCTTCTCACCTATCCATCTCTATGCAACCCAGGAGGCAAGAGAGGTGTCTGAAATCTCGGGCGTTACTGATGAGGCTTTGGGCATCCCACATACCTGCTTTTTCCTCACTAGGATTGGCAAAACCCAAAACATACAACAAAAGACTGCTCATATATTTTAAAATTAATATAATCAATAATATTTGGATTTGTGGGATCCATCGTGCTCTCTGAGCTGAGTGGTTTCCCTGCAGATGTTTCATTTTGCCACTAGGCAACATCACCAGTGCTGGAAGGGAGTAGGGTTGCCCCTCTGTTTATAACCAAGTGGCTTGCCCTGCCAGCGTTGATGAGGGTGTTCCTGGGAGCCTCTTGATTAGGTTGTGGTTTACTGCTTGACTTTTTTTTTCTGGTATTAATCCTGATATTACTCTCTGCTTCTCTGAGTGTTAGTTGCTGGTGAGGAGATGCCTTGAGGTGTTTTTTGTTGGTTGGTTTGTTTTCCTTTTCACTTTTTGACTGTGTCCTTTAAATGGTGCGTAGATGTTGTTGAACCCTGAGCTACAAATATTTTCTTCTATTGATACATTTGGGTTTCTTGTTGAAAAATGTGGATTGCTTGGTAAGAGAACATTTTAGTGCTATGTAGTCTTTGGCCAGTCTTCCTCTGCATTCCATGCAGAATGCTTATTTTTTGCAATGATCTGTATACAAGCAACTTTTTAAAAGAATGCTCTTCTACTCCCTTCCCCCACATTTCTTCCCACTGCCCAGAACTTATAATTTTAACATTCTTTGGATGCTAAAAAAAATTTATCTCCAGCAGCTGTGGGAACCAAAACAATGTGGGACACAAATGCCCCGTCTGGCTGATCAGAGTAGCTTGGCATCAAGCCTGCTCAAACAGTAAATTCCTCCTGTGAAATGGAAGGTTTTCCATATGATGCTATCCAAAGAAAATTGTCCTTGGAAATCATTGAAAGAAGGCTGTCATTGCCCCTCACATGGGCTTCGTGTTTGATTTTTCTCCATTCTTAAATGTCACAAAATGGACCTGGATCCATCATCCATAACATGATGGATGTTAGCTGGTTGTAGCTTCTCCAGTTTTGTCCTTGATTGATGTGTGCTTCTCCAGTTCTCCTTGTAGCCATTTTGTCAAGCTGGTTTGAAGGATATACTAGATTAGGGAAGAGGATCAAACCAAGAGGAATAACTTTGGCAACTTTTCTCTCAGGATTCACAGCAAGGAGCCATGGTGTAACCCATGATGCAATGGTAGCCAAAAGGTTGCCTCTTCCTCTCAAACTCTGTACTTTCAAGGACAGTTCCACGTACGTCCTCTGGCATCGCAGAATTCTTATGTCAGGTTCTCAGCTTGATACTTGACTCATAGAGAGGACGCAGTCCCTATTGTGGAGCTGAGAAGCATTTCAGATGCACTTGGCAGAAGAGTTCATACTTGTAGATTTGAAAACTGCCCAGATGGAAAACTGGCAGATAGGGTTCCTATATAATGTAGTTTGGTGAGTGGGAATGAATCCATACAATGAATTCATGTGCAGTTCCTATATAATTAAAGCTTCTACAGCAGGGGTGTCAACTCGATTTCATCAGGGTTGTGTTTGACCTGGGGGGGGGGGGGGGGGGGGGCGGGGGGGGCGTAGCCAGCTCAACATCACTCATGTCGGGGGCACTCATGTGGTAGCCAAGTACTAAGGCAGGACTTCTCTCAGACCCCCCCTCCCTCTCCCCTTATAATCTTCCTTCCTTCCTTCCTTCTTTCTTTCTCTTCTTTTTCCTTCCTTGCTCTCTTCCCATCTTTCCTCTCTCCCTTTCTCCTTTCCTGTCCCTTCTTGCATGCTCAAATGCAAAAGGGAAAACATTTCTCCTTTTTTTGTTTGTTTGTTTCTTTTGCTAGCCCTCTGCCAGTGAAAACACAGCCTGGGCCCCATTTTCAGCCACAACAGTATCCTGCAGCCCTCTGCCAGTGAAAACTGAGCTTGGGAGGGCTGCATCCTTTGCTGTTCCCAGGTCAGCCCCATGGGCCAGATCTAAGCACCCTGTGGGTCTTGAGTTTGACACTGCTGTTCTACAGGATTCTTGGACAGGTTTTTGCCCTCTGTAGTTTGGCCGTAGTTCAGTTAGCTTAGGGTATCAGCAGGCCTCCATCGCTGTTCTCTGTGCTGAGAGGCATTTTAGAATCTGCAGGAGGAGGATGGGGCAGTCCACTTAAAGGGCATCCCAAAGATGTTTAGATTTCGGAGACTGTCTTCCTTCTGGAAAATGCCCAGTAGGGTCCCTTTTTGTGCAGTCCTATTCCTGGTAGTGATGAATGGGCTTCCTTTTGTCCTTCAAGAACTGGTAGAGCTGCTAAAGGCATTCAGGGGTGCAGAAAAGTAGCTCCTGGGATGACCCTCCATAACTTGGAATTTTGCCTAAGGGGGAGT